ACAAAAATAAATATACTGCTTAATAAATAAGCAGAGCATCTACTCTAATATGTGTATCCACTAAATAATATTTAAATATATATGTGTGTTTGTGTGTGTGTCTGTGTGTGTGTTTGTTTGTGTGTGTGTGTGTTTGTGTGTGTTTGTGTGTTTGTGTGTGTTTGTGTGTGTGTTTGTGTGTGTGTGTGTGTGTGTGTAAAAATAAATTTTATTTTTGATTTTATTCATATACTAGATTAAAAGCTGCCTTATCAGAGGTCTCTTGATTGGGTCTTTGGTTTGTTCAGGTGATTGAGAGTCCTTAAGTTTTTGCTTATTCTCAACATTCGAAGTTCTCCTGGCTGCCATTTGATCTGTGTTCTCATTTGCATGGGACTTTCTTTTCCTTGCTGCAGCCTTGGCTCTTTTGATTGCAATCTGGTTCTCCGTTGGTGGAGATTTCTTTTTCAAAGGCATACTGCTGCTGTATGTGATAGGCAACAATAAACTACAGAAGAACTCAAAATTGATAGCTGCATTTAAATATAGCATTAATATTTAAGCTTACCTTTTAAAAGATCAACAGTAATTCTTCTGCTGCCACTTAATTTAAAGACAATTAGATGTGTGTATGTCCTTACTTTCCATACAAATAATTATTTTTATTTCATAGGTAACTTTTGCTGGATTTTGCAATTAACTTAAATTATTCCCAAATTTATTTCCAAGTTACAAAAATTTGTTGCAAAAAATCATGTAAAAAATTACCAAAAACAATCGCAGTAATGAAAACTTGGGAATCCAAAATTTTTGTAACATGAGTTACTAAAAGTTAGAGAGAAGTGTTTCTTTAATTTAAAAATGTGACACACTGACATTGACATTTATTATATAGAAGAAGAATATAAGCTATTCAGAATTGTGTCCCTTCAATTTAAAAAGTATGACACACTGATATTGACTAAATGAAAAAGCGTGACACACTGATATTGGCATTTATTATATAGAGAATGAGCTATTGACAGTTGTGTCCCTTTAAATGAAAAAGTGTGACACACTGATATTGGCATTTATTATATAGATTATTTTTTTGACTATATTGAGATAATTGCTTATATTAATTTTTTTTTTAAATCTCTTTAAAGCTAATCTTATTTCATCAGCAACGATGTTTGGGAAATTATTGTTGTTAAGTGTTTTATATGGCTTAATTCTCTATAAAATAATGTGTCAGGAGGGGAAATCATTTTCATGTGTTAAACCTATTTTATATCTGTTGATGAAAAACTAAGATTTGCTTTAAAAATTGATATATATATATATATATATATATATATATATATATATGTGTGTGTGTGTGTGTATGTGTGTGTGTGTGTGCATGTGTGTGTAAAATTTCAGATATAACTAAAAATATATAAGTAAAAAGACTAGAGGAATAAAGACAAAAAGAAAACTTTTCTTAGCTGATGTGTTTCAGCCTCTTATGGACTTTATCAAGGCAAATGTAAGGATTTTATTTTGCAACAAGTATTTATAAACACAAGTAAAACTATTCCAAGTTTTACAAATTTTATTAATTTAAGAGACGCTCATAAATATTCATCAGGCTAACTGAAAAGTCAAAGTAAATCATGAAAGATGCTAAGCGACATAATTTAATGTCTAATAAATGTGTTTAAATGTTGTTTGTGATTTATATATATATATATATATATATATATATATATATATATAATATAATTATTATTTAGATTATATAGTTTGTGATTAATTCATGTATTATACACTTTAAATAACAGAATGTTTTGAATTTGATATGAATACACCTGAAAAAGAAAGTTGATGAAACTGCATTTGATTAGTGTGCTAAAATTTTATATACAAAAATTCAATTAGTTCATGCTAAGTAACGTAATTTAATGTCTAACAAATAAAAGTGAGTAAATGTTGTTTGTGATAATATATATATATATATATATATATATATATATATATATATATATATATATATTTAAATGTAATTACTATTTATATTATTTCAGTTTGGGATTAAATTTATATATTATATACTTTAAATAATAGGTTATAAATTTAACCATTTTCTCTTAAGTTTTTAAAATTTTTTATAGTCATGTATGTTGGTTTGGGAAACGATTATATATTTGAAGAAGGAGATATTTGATAAAATTCAGGTTGCAGATTTATATTTTGGTAAAATTTGATAGTGGCACTCAAGAATTTACTAAGTAAGTCAGTTACTTTCTCTTTTAATAAGTGTGGCATTATTTAGATCAAAGTTGTGGTTAAATTTATTTCTATGTATAACTAATGCATTTAATAAATTGTTGTGTATAGAGAAATGTTTCTTTTTAATTTCTTCAAGTTTCCCAAAAATATTGTAGAGAAAAGTTGTAACTATTTCATATATATATATATATATATATATATATATATATATATATATATATATATATGGTTCAGTATTATTATTGTTATCGATATTTTTGGTTCTGATCATATCTATAATAATTTGGGATGTGGTTGTAATTATAAATTCTTAACGATAAATTGCTTTGGATAGTAGATATTAAGGACTTAATAGTATTATATGTCTCTTTTTTTATTTAGTCTATTGGCATTTTCTTAATATAGTCCCTCAGAGGATGAAACATATTGGCTAAGATAAGTTTTCCTTTTGTTTATATATATATATATATATATATATATGTGAAAAGTGTATATAAATATAAATAAATATATATATGTATAATTATTTATATATTATATCTTATGTACTTATTAGAAAGCGCTCAATATCAGAGATAGAGCTAACATATTTGGATGGATAGATGTGAGTTTGTGAAACCCAGGGTTTCACAAACTCACATCTATCCATCCAAATATATATATATATATATATATATATATATATATAGGAAAAGGTACAACTGCAGAAAGCAAACATGTTTTGAGTAGATTTGGTTTATTAAGGCACAATTTAAAATTTGTGGTGGGAGGGAAAAGCATGGGGTTGCAGTAGATGTTCAAATGGAGAGAGCCTGCGGATTTTTGTAGAAATTATAATCTGCAAGTCATGCTTATTTTGTGGTCAAAAATAGAAATCATGTAGGCTACTCTGGAGTCAATCAGAATTGATCATGGGGTATATTTTTATCTCTATCTGATCACAAGATCAGATAGAGATAAAAATATGCCCCATGATCAATTCTGAGCCCACTTTTTCATCCATTTGTCATGGCAAAAAGAAAATGTCTTCCAACATGCAGCTGTCACAGCCAGGACACATTTCATCATCTAGAAAAAAGATCCAAATAATTTCAGGTACAGTCATTTTATGTACCAACCACACTTGTATATTTCTTTCTTTATATTTTGTTTTAAATTGTTTTCTGTGTATGTCACACTAAATGGTTCAGGCTTATATCCTGGTTGTATCCAGTCTCACATGATTTGCCTTTCTATCACTTGTTATTTTCAGACATCTAGACCATGTGTTCTTTGTTTCAATGTAGTTTAAGAAGTTACCTTTAAAAGCTTTAGCTAAGAAAAGGATAACATCTGTGAAAAAAGTCTGCCTTAGAAATCAACTTTCAAAATCCTGGCTCTTTCCTGTACTCAAACATCAACCACTTATGCCATTTGGGAAAAGACAACTGTCAGAGAAAGTAGGCTCATGTTTTTCCAGTAATTAATCGCCATTCTCTTTAACAAAAGTGTCATTTAAGATAAATCCTTGCCAGATTTTTTTCTTTTTTTGTGATGACACAACACAAAAAATATTCCAACAGACATGGAAGATGCGAACAAGTAACTCTCAGATTTGATGAGGTGTAATAATATATAGATAAAAACCACTTGAAACAGAGTGACCATTTTTGAAATGCAGAGATAGTGAAGTGTCAGCCTTGGGAGTTATGTGACTTTAACAAGTTTTGGATAGGGTTTATTGTTAATCTTATGGGTTTGCCGACTTTGTTAGACAGGCTTCCAGATGATTAGTTTTATCAGGCTTTTTTTTTCCTTACAGCTTTTGCTATAACATAATTTAAAAAAAAAACAACAAATAATCAAAGTAAGTCAGTAATCACTCACATCAAATACAAAATAAATTTTGCTGTTTTGGTTTACAACAATATGGCAAAATGTGACAAATCTTATAAGTTTAGCCTACATTCTTTCTATCAATCTGTCATTTGGTGGGTACAGGATGAATGAAATTGTAAGGTGGATCTGCTTTCTATTTTTTATCTGGAATTTCTTTTTGTTTATTTGCTTTATTTCCTGTCTTTGTGGCATGTGATTCCTGGGATTGATTCTTTCTTCTTCAGGCTCATTTCTAAGACATTAAATTGAACACATGGTTATCAGCAAAAGGATGAGTCCAAAATGTAAATTACAGGTTGGGAATATTAAAATCAAGCAGGTGCAGAAATTTAAATATCTGGGAAGTGTTCTAACAGATATCAAAAAGTGCAACAGTGAGGTCCAAAGATGTATTCAGTTGGCCAAAGATGCATTCCAAAAGCTAAGCAGAGTATTAAGAGACAGAAAAAGGTCATTAGATACAAAGAAAAGAGTACCGAACTGTTGCATAATATCTGTATTCCAGTATGGCAGTGATTGTTGGACAATCTCCTCAAAGATGAGGAAGAGACTTGAAGCAACAAAAATGTGATTCTACAGAAAGATGCTGAGGTGCTATGGACCGAAAATGTGAGCAACAATGAGGTTTTGGATTGAATGGAAACAAAATGGAAACTTATACTTAACATCAGGAAGGGGCAACTGAAATTTCTGGGGCATGTAATGAGGAAGGAGGGCTTGGAAAATCTGATGCTCACAGGTCAAATAGAGGGATTGGAAAACCTGCTATTCATGTGACAGATTGAAGGAAAAGAGAAAAACAGCATGTAACATACTTGATGGGCTTGAGCAAATGGATGGCATAACAGAATTTTTATATTCAAAGTCATTGACAGTAACAGCATATCCAAACTTCCAGTACCTGGTATTCCCAAGTGGTCATCCATCTAGTTACTGACCAGGTTCGACATTGCTTAACTTCAGCGATGATATGGGAACAGGTGTTTCAATGTGATGTGACCA